TCTCAATACTGTATTAACATAAGGAAAATAAAACAGTAGAAATCTAAATATTGTTCTCGTGTTATGTTTAGAGGAACGATATGCTACAGATGTGCCAAATTATGTGGAACAATCCCGCGGCCATGTGACCCACATTTTTGCTCTATATTTGCAATTTCTTAGGCGGTATAATTTTCTATTCTTCTACAAATATCACCAAAAGTCAAAGCGGTCATCAAAACACATTTTTTAAACAAACATTATACATAATGGATTCTTTTTTATTATTGTTATATTTAGATATTATGACTCCCTAGATCTGGTTAGTCACACATTATTTATAGACGCCCTAATTATAAGTTTGATTCTTATGCCTAAGTATGTTTATGCAACCATGAACGTCTCGTTTTTACATACATATTAATAATTCACGTGTTGTGAATGAAATGAGCCGTTTAAAATTGGAAGCGGTCGATTGTTTTAATAATGTAAAAATAGAAATATTGTGAATTGAACTGAATTAGTAATTTCAATTACCCTGGAATAACTGTTACGGTACTATTTTATCTTTTGCGCACTACACATATTTATGTAGGCCTATGTAGTATTCGATTATATTAGCTCAAGTTGCTAATATATATATATATATATATATATATATGTAAGTTAATCAATCAATCAATCAATTTCTTTTATTTTAGACATATCAAAAGGGATTCTATTTAATATTGAAAATGATAAAATAATAACAATAATAATAATAATAATTATTATTATTATATTATTCTTTTATTATTATTATTATTATTATATTATTATTATTATTATTATCATCATCATCATCGACATCATCATTATTTTTTTTCTTATTATTACGGTATTTATTTATTTATATATATATACATATATATATATATATGTAAGTTAATCAATCAATCAATCAATTTCTTTTATTTTAGACATATCAAAAGGGATTCGATTTAATATTGAAAAATGATAAAATAATAACAATAATAATAATAATAATTATTATTATTATTATTATTATTATTCTTATTATTATTATTATTATCCTTTTAATATTATTATTATTATTATATTATTATTATTATCATCATCATCATCGACATCATCATTATTGTTTTTCTTATTATTACGGTATTTATTTATTTATTTATTTTACTATAATTATAATTATTATTGTTATTATTATTATTATTTCTCTTATTATTATATTATTATTATTATCATCATCATCATCGACATCATCATTATTGTTTTTCTTATTATTATGGTATTTATTTATTTTACTATAATTATAATTATTATTGTTATTATTATTATTATTTCTATTATTATTATTATTATTATTATCACTATCATCTATATATATGCTTATATCATCATCATCATTATCGATTATCATCATAATATGATTATTGTCACATCGGGAAACATACCACACAATATGCTTTCATATTATGCCTAGAGTTGGTTGTGCCAAATAACACATATGATGTAATGATAATAAACTATACTTAATTAATAATACAGCAGTTATTGATAAACAAACAAGCAATCGCAGATGTGTGCCTTCTTCAATAACTTCATTATTGATTTGATCTAATTAACAACAAACACGTACACTAAATAATTTAGCATCGTTATTTAAACACCGTTTTTTTTTTAATTGTTCTGGGACAAACTAATACGCGTGATACTTCTACAGTTAACCTAAACAATGCTATGAAACAACATCTTTAAGTACAGATTTCCGTATTGCTAAGTGGTAGTTAAATTTAATGTTAGGGGAGACGAATTCCACTGCTGGTAGTTACAAGTAGGCGAGACGAATTCCGAAGTAATAAGTAAGCGAGTAACAAGTAGACGAGTAACAA